ACGATCTTCATGCGTGAATAGCCGGGAGGAAAGAAAGGGCGGTAGATGATAATGAGAAAGGGCACCGCGTCTGGACGGATGTTAAATGCGGGAATAGTATTACCCACCAAAACTTTTAAAAGTGTGTCAATTACACACCACTTCGGTGTTTGACCACATCTTCTTAAAGATTTCTATTACACGCGTCAATCAGCATCTGATACGTGTCATAAATCGAGAAAAAAAAGAAAAATTGAAAAAGCCCCTCCTCATCTTCCAAAAAAAACAGAAAAGAAACCCCCTCTCCTCATCTTCCCAACCCTATCATCTTCTCCACCACCACCATACTACTACCAACCCTTCCACCACAAGCACCTTCTTCCCAAACTACCGAGTTACGAAAGAGAAAGAAGAACATTATTACTCTTAGTTATTTATTATGTATTGGAGTCCTTAAGTTTAATAGTTGTCAGTTTAGTCTTTTCTTATTTATTATATAGTCCCTAAAAGCTGGCATTGTTATATGTTGTCAGGTGTCTAGTTTGTTAGAGTCATTTTGTTATTTATTCCCTGTACGTCAGAGTCTACAATTATGCTGAATGAAATATCATCTTTTTCATTTTAATTATGTCCTATTTTACATTCTTCTTGGTTTTGCGTGCCTACCCGTTACATATTGGTATTAGAGCGGTGCCGACCTGGTGTTTTCTGGCGATGGTAGAGTCTCAGAAAATGAAAGAAACTGATGATGGGTGGAAGAAATTTGAAACCCAACTTCAGGCGTATATGGTGGATACTCAGCAGAGGATGGCTAGGATGGAGGAAGTACACGCTCAACGACATGAGGAGAGTAATCGGAGGTTTGAGGCATTGTTAGCTCAAATGGAATCTGACCGGCGGGCAGAGTCAAACGCGGCAACTCGAGCTCATGCACTTCTCTTACAAGGAGGGCCATATGTTGAACAGGGTGATTCCTCCGTTGGGTGTAACCTCTGGTCAGCGGCATCGGTTTCCCCTCTTACACCTGCTGCTACTCTTAATTTTTCTCAGATTGGTAGAGGTATGACATTTACTCCAGCTCCCTTCAATCCTAGATCTACCACTGTCACTGTTTCTCCAAATGTCCCTATGTCCACCACTATTCCTATTTCATCTACTGTTGCTCGTACTGAAGCTTTGCAACCAACCTTTATAACTCACCCTCTCTTTTACCCTAGCATCACCAACTTCGCTTCCTATCCCTACACTTCGTCGACCCCTCTTACTACCATTTCTACCACCAGTTTCTCACCCATGAACTATCTTTCACATCAACCTTATCACTTCTCTTTTAGGCCTAACCCAACGATAATGCCTCCACCACTGATTACCTCTTTTACCCAGCCCAACAACAGTTTACCAGCCCAAAATATGATGTCTCAGCCTAGTTTTCAAACACCTGCAGTCATAGATAACTAAATCACTTCCTCAAAATATAAACTATCATTTCCTGAGTTCGACATTAATAATCCTAGGGGATGGATACGTAGGTGTCAAAAAATTTTCCACCTTTATCAGATTCCACAAGAGTCATGGATGAGTTATGTGGCAGTGCACATCAAAGATAAAATTGACATATGGTTTGATGTTTATATGATAGACAAAGGTAGAAATGTCTCCTGGGAAATATTTTGTTTGGATGTTTGTCGTCGTTATGGGAACATTCGACCATTAGACGTCGTTAACGAGTTTAATCGATTGGAACAAAAAGGAGATGTTGATAGTTATCAGGTAAGTTTTGATGAGTTGCGTTTCTACGTGTTGCTCATTAATTCATCTTTGAACGAAGCATACTTTGTTACTTGTTTTATTGGTGGCCTTAGATCTGATTTACAATCGATGGTCAGGGCTTTTAATCCTCAAACACTGCTTGATGCCTTGGAAGTGGCTAAGTTGCATGAAAAGACCCTTGCGACCATCTACAAAAATATCCAGCCCAAGTACTATGTTACCTACCCCAAAAATGATAGTCCAATAGCCAAAAGTGATAGCTCAATACCCAAGACCCTTACTTCCCCAGCTTCGGCACCAAGGGCACTCCCTGGTGTTACCATTAAAAATCCTTTATCTAAAAATGTCTCTTTGGATACACTGCATGACCTTAATTTGTGTTTCAAGTATCACAACAAATATTTTTCGGGCCATCAATGTAAAACCAAGTTGCAGTTGATGACTGGTGAAATGGAGGTGGGAAAATGCTCAGGGGTAGCAAAGGAGGCCCAAGAAGAAGAAACTGTGGTTGAAGGGGAGTTACAGGCCCATGAGCAAGGTGAACAAGCAGAAATTTCATTAAACGTGTTGCTGGGCCTGGATTACACACCGAATACTATTAAAATTGTGGGTAACATCAAACAAATCCCATTGGTTATTTTAATCGATAGTGGTTCTACCCATAGTTTTATTGATCCTCAAGTGGCTAAAAATTTGGGCCAAATAGGTGTGCCCATTAAGGGTCTCTTGAGAGTGAGAGTTGCTAATGGGCACGAGCTATTTTGCAGTCATTTTAGCCCATCATTCATGTGGGAAATGGGGAATAATCAATTTCATTTTGATTTAAGGTGGCTGCAAGTGAAGGGTTGTGATATTGTGTTGGGAATGGATTGGATCAATTCAGTTGCACCTTTGATTTTGCATACTAAACCACATAGTATCTCTTTTATGAAGGATGGTCACTTTTTAACATTGATTGCCAGCAGAGACGCTATAAAAATAGCTCCTGCCAAGGCCAAATCCATTCAGAAATTGCTTAAGAGCAGTTACTGTAGCTTTTTAGCTCAAGCCCAATTCAATGACTTGGAAGAAGTAGCTGAGACCTTTCCTAATCAAACCCAAATGGAACAACTACTGTCCAAATTCGAGGACTTATTCAAAGAACCAAGTGGTCTTCCTCCTAAGCGTGGATGTGATCATGCAATTGATTTGGTTCCTGGTGCTATTACAGTTAACCAAAGGCCATATCGATACTCGTTTGAACAAAAGAACGTTATCAACAAAATAGTCCAAGACATGCTACAACAGAATACTCTGGTTCCCAGCTCTTTTCTTTTTTGCTTCACCTGTGATATTAGTGAAGAAAAAGGACTCTACTTGGCGCATGCGTGTTGACTACTGCAAGTTAAATGATATTACGGTGAAGAATAAATATCCAATTCCGGTAGTGGAAGATTTGTTAGACGAATTGAATAGAGCTTTCTTATTTTCAAAGCTTGACCTGTGGTCTAGTTATCATCAAAGCGCATGAAGGAGGGGGACGAGTTCAAAATAACATTTCGAACTCACCATGGGCTATGGCAATTCAAAGTAATGCCTTTTAGGCTTACAAATGCTCCAGCCACGTTTCAGGCCTTAATGCACAAGATTTTTGGGCCTTATCTTCGCAATTTCGTGTTAGTGTTCCTCAACGACATTCTTGTCTATAGTGCTTCTGCCTCAGAACATTTGATTCATCTTGAGAAGGTTTTTGAAGTATTACAAGCTAATCAGCTCTTTGCTAAGCACTCTAAATGTAGTTTTGGGCGTGATAGGATTGAGTATCTCGGCCATATAATTTCTAGTGGAGGGGTTAGTATAGATGAGTCTAAAGTCGAAGCAATGCTCAATTGGGACAAGCCTAGTAATATTAAAGGGCTTAGAGGATTTTTGGGTCTAACAGGTTACTATAGGAGGTTCATAAAATATTGTGCAATCATCAACAGACCTCTTACTAATTTACTAAAGAAAGGGACTTTTGTTTGGAGTGAGGAGGCTATGCAAGCATTTGAGGCCCTAAAACAAGCAATGGTCCAAGCACTTGTACTGGCCCTACCTAATTTCTCTCAGCATTTTGTCGTAGAAGTGGATGCTTGTGGAATAGGAGTGGGGGCTGTTCTGATGCAGCAAGCTAGACCTTTGGCTTTCCTTAGCCAAGCTTTAAGCTCAAAGCATCTGGGCTTATCTACCTATGAAAAAGAACTGGTGGCACTACTGTTAGCCATTGAAAAGTGGCGACACTATCTACAACCATCTCATTTTATCATTAAAATAGACCACTTCAGCTTGATGTTTTTGAAAGATCAAAGGGTGACAACCTCTCTTCAACATAAAGGTATAACTAAGCTTTTGGGGCTTAGTTACAAAATTCAATTCAGAAAAGGAGTAGAAAATGTTGCTACTGATGCATTGTCACGTAGATTTGAAGAAGAGGCAGAATGCAAAAGTATTTCAGTAGTGCAACCTTTATGGGTTCAGGAAGTCTTTGCTAGCTATGAAGGGGACTCCGTAATCATGGCAGCTATGGCTAAACTTGTACTAGATCCTAATGTTATTCCTAATGTATCCTTGCAGCAGGGCTTATTGAGGCATAAGGGTCAAATTTGGGCAGAAAGTACTGGGCAGAAGAGACAACAATTAATTGAAGCTATGCACATCACAACTTGGGGCAAACATTCAGGGGTTCATGCCACCTTGCAAAGATTGAAATCTCTTTTTTACTGGCCCAATCTCTCAGAGGATGTGAACCAGATGGTATCAGAATGTGACACTTGCCAAAGGAACAAGGGAGAAAATGTGGCTTATCCAGGATTACTTCAGCCTCTTCCTGTCCCCTCAAGGGCATGGGAACACATTACAATGGATTTCATTGAAGGATTACCAAAATCCGGGGGAAAAAAGTAATATTTGTGGCAGTGGATTGTTTTACCAAATATGCTCATTTTATAGCCTTATCCCATCCTTATACGGCATTGAAAATTGCTCAATTGTTCCTTGACAATATCTGTAAATTACATGGCAATCCAATTTCTATTACTTCTGATAGAGACCCGATTTTTACAAGCCTGTTTGGAAAGAGTTGTTTAAAGGATTGGGGGTACAAATTAAGCTCAGCTCAGCATACCATCCACAGACGAATGGGCAAATGGAAAGGCTTAACAAGTGTTTGGAAGGTTACCTTCGATGCATAACTGGTCACTAGCCTGCAACTTGGAGCAAATGGTTAAGCTTGGTAGAGTTCTGATACAATACAGCTTTTCATTTCGCAATTCAAATGTCCCCCTTCAAGGCGTTATATGGCTATGATCCTCCCCAGCCTACATTTGAGCTTGTGGCTCAATCCAAGGTGAACTCAGTTGATGAATTGCTGCGAGAAAGGCAGATAATGAGTCGAGTTTTACAAGAAAATTTAAGGAAGGCTCAAGAGAGAATGAAGTTGTATGCCGATGCAAAGAGAACAAAAAGATATTTTCAAGAAGGCGATTGGGTGTTTCTTAAACTCAGGCCATATCGACAAGTTTCTATGGCTGTTCGTAGAAATTTGAAATTGGCTTCAAAATACTACGGGCCTTACCAAATTGTCAAGAAAATCGAGCATGTTGCGTATGAGCTGAAGCTACCTGTCGGGTCCAAGATTCATCCAATTTTTCATGTCTTACAGTTGAAGAAAAAAGTTGGAAATCAAGTGGTGCCATCCATGGAACCCCCAATTTGTTACAATGATGGACAGATTTTGGTGGAACCTGTGGCAATTTTGGATCGGAGGATAGTGAAAAAGAAGAATAAGGCAGTTGTGAAGGTGTTGGTGCAATGGGCAAATCTATCTCCAGAAGAAGCAACTTGGGAGGACTACAATTTTCTCTGTTCTCAGTTTCCAGAGTTTCAACCTTGACAATGATGTCAAGGTTTTTCAATGGGAAATGGAATGTTACGAAAGAGAAAGAAGAACATTATTACTCTTAGTTCTTTATTATGTATTGGAGTCCTTAAGTTTAATAGTTGTCAGCTTAGTCTTTTCTTATTTATTATATAGTCCCTAAAAACTGGCATTGTTATATGTTGCTAGGTGTCTAATTTGTTAGAGTCATTTTGCTACTTATTTCCTGTATGTCAGTCTACAATTATGCTGAATGAAATGTCATCATTTTCATTTTTAATTCTGTCCTATTTTACATTCTTCTTGGTTTTACGTGCCTACCCCTTACATACCTATTTAATTCTTTGCCGATTTTTAACAAGCTTTAATAACATTCATCACAAATTCTTATACAAATTTCAAATTCAAGTTCAAATCCAAAGCTTCAAATTTGTTAATGATGTTTTTTGAATTTTATCAAAATTAATCACTAAATTTTCAGCATATTTTTAGTAAACTTTTACTCAACAATAATCAAATTAATTTTCTAGGTCATGGAATACCAAAATTAAATTTTTAAGCTTTTTAAAAGGTTAATAATTGTGATTTTTACAAGACCCAATAGCTCCGCTTTTCTTTTTCTTTTTCTTTTTCTTCTTAGTCATGAGAGTTGGAGAGGCAAAACATGAGAGGTAGATAAAACTAGAATGGGGGTTGGGGAAGAAGACGAACAGGAGGGGGAAAGCGCTGGGATTTGGGTTGAGGAAGAAGACATGGATTTATGTTTTTTTTCTTTAATTTAAAAAGGAAATAGTTAAAAAATAAAATAAAAAAAACAAATAAAAAAACTTAATTTCAGATGATTTTTTAGTTTTCACGCGCCTTTTTTATGTGTAATACACACGTTTGACACATGGTAAAAAAGGTGTGTAATTGACAGACTTTTAGTGTACTATTTTCGTGTTTAATAAGTGTGTAAAAGAGATTTGAGCGCAAGGTGAACGGGTAAAGTACATATTTTACCAAATAGTAGTAATACTTAATTTTTCTTTTTAAAAGGCAGCAGCATGGAGCGCAGTGGTAACTAATCATAACTCCGTTAGGCGTTAACAGTGTGTGTGAGAGAGAGAGAGCGCGCAACCGCCCCATTCCCTCATTCTTTCGCTTCAAGTCTTCACTACGAGTGTTTCAGATCACCTACTTTCTATCTCTCTATATAAGTATATAATCAACGCCGTCCCTCACAATTGCCTTTCACCAGAAGAAGAGGAGCATTTCCTGATATTGAATTTCTGTAAGTAATCATTGCATTTCATTTCACTTAATTAGTCGTTTTTCGTTGTTGATTTGTCCTTTCAATTACTTGATAACTTTTGTTAATGTTTTTTTTTTTTCAATCTGAATTGGATTAGTTGACGATTTTCTACGATTGTTTTTTCTCTGATTCCAAGCTTACAATTAACTTCTACCACAGTGCATCCTCAATTTGAAATCAGTTGATGCACAGTCATATACATATGGTGCGCGCGTGAGTGTGTGTGTGTGTGTGTGTGTGAGAGAGAGAGAGAGAGAGAGAGAGAGAGAGAGAGAGAGAGAGAGAGATCCGCCTTAGTTTGCTCCTACACCTACTAACATTCCACGGCCTGTTGTCACCAAACGGAAGCAAATTATATAATTTCTTTTTGTTGATTGTTTCTCTCTAAGTAAGCACTGGCTTAGGTGTTCCTTGTTATTATGCTTTTATTTATAAAAAAAATCATTTTGTTGATTCCTTGTTTGATTGCTTGATCACTTGTCATTGGAGTATTTGCATCTGATACTGGATATTTACATTTTGCACTACCGCGATTCATTTTGTTCAAAAATTTCCTGCTGTTTTCTAGCTTAAAGCCTTAAAATACATATGTGACGATAAGCCGGCAGTGAGATTAGTTTTATGTACAAATTTATTTTGCACTCAGATAAGCCGGCAGTGAGATTAGTTTTATGTAGAAATTTATTTTGCACTCAGATAAGCCGGCAGTGAGATTAGTTTTATGTAGAAATTTATTTTGCACTCAAATAAGTCGGCAGTGAGATTAGTTGATTCTGATCAGTTAAGTTGAATGTATGTACTATAAGAGGTAAATTCATGATTTGAAATTTATGGGTTCCTAAAGTGACCTCAAATCTTCAACTTTAATACTATAAAATAATAATAACTGGGTTCTCAGTCAATTATTTATAGATATTTAATGGATTTCTTAATACATATATAGGGTTTGGACAAAAGCTACTGGATTCACGTGAACCCATATTGTCGATCCACCTCTGACTATAAGCACCTGTTTATGTTTTCCATAGGCCATCCCTCCTCGTCCCTTCTTTCTCATTATTGTTCTATGTTGTTTCTGTTTTGCTTTATTTAGTAGTTTATGGTTTCTCCTGGGTTAAATCATGTTTATTGTATTACTATGATTGCAGGTGAAGAACAATGACAAACACACAACTAATGGAGATTCAACCTCATGAGCTCAAGTTCACATGTAAGTTCTTGAAACTTTGCATTTGCTTCCTCACAAAATTGACATGGAATGAAAAATAGAATGGAAATATGGGGTGAGCTTGACATTTTCTGGCAAGTACTCTTGATGCCCTTCAATTGCATTGAGTACTAAAATTTTGAGCTAACTATATGAAAGCATCAACATCTGCTAAACCCAAGAATACTTGCTATTTAATGAAATCACTGTACAGAGTTGGCTTTGTCATGTACTATTCTGAGTGGTAGTGACTGCTTTTCGACTACACTAAAGCTGAGGAAGCCTGTTTTGGTTTCATATTCTTCTTGAATTAATAGATGTGTGTCGCTTGTAATGATATTCAGAGGTACTGAAAAGGAAAAAATTATTTAAGAGGTTATTTAATTTGCTTAATGCCCTATTTGGGTTGAAAGATAAAAAAGGTAACTACTGGATGGTAACTATCTTATCTATCATTTATCACTATTTGACATTTAGCCAAATAAGAAATGTTCTTATAAACACCTTCTTGGTTCAGGAGGAAGACAGTTCAATAAAGAGTTAACCTTTTGAGACTGGCAAATTGGGATACATCAAAGATGTTTGCTTATTCTTGTGTTAGGCTTCAGAGATCATTTTGTACTTCTTTTGGATTAAAGGATGCGCTTCTAACTCTTATCTTTGCTTTTAGTTGAGGTGAAGAAACAAAGTTCATGTGCAGTTCACCTAGTTAATATCACAGACCAATATGTAGCTTTCAAGGTATGGTAATTTTGTCGAAAAGGCATTCATATAAACTCTTAAGAAAATAAGATACATGCGCAGCTGCCCCTTGTTGAGATTGAGCAAAAGGCCATCCAACTCTGTACTTTTTGTTTTACAGGTGAAGACCACTTCACCTAAGAAATATTGTGTCCGGCCAAATATAGGTGTTATCAAACCAAAATCGACATATGACTTCACAGGTATATATAATTTCTCTTTCTGGTTCTTATTCATTGACAGCCATAAAGTTAATTATCCTTGCATTGCTAAGCATGCTTCTTCAAGTGAGTAGTCATCTACGAGTTGGGGAGCAAAGACATTGCAGCAAAGTAGATGTAGCTTCTGTTAGTGCTCCTGCTTACTGAATCTTTTTAGTAATCTAAACGTCAATGTGTGGAGATCAGCAACACATGAAAGGAAGTTTCATTCAACTAATTTTCTCCTTTCAATGCTCATGCTTGATTTCTGCAGTTTGAGGTCTGGTAATTTGACCTATCAAGATGACTTTACAAGATATTGTCAAGTCAGATTTGACCCTGAATAGTAGTTATCTCATAATTGAGCTTGAATTCAAATACTCTATAGCAAAATTAGTCCAACCAAGCAAAGATGTGTCGAACTTTGTATCTGTGCTGGTTGATTAAGACCCCGGTCAAAAGAACATTCTTCAGTTTCTAATCCTGACGTTATCTTGAGATGCAGTTACAATGCAAGCTCAGAGGACCGCTCCATCCGATATGCAATGCAAGGATAAATTTTTGATTCAGGGCACAGTTGTCCCT